TGTGTGTGTGTGTGTGTGTGTGTGCTTAAATATATTTCGGTCGAAATGACCCATACGCGCTCACTAACATTGGTCCTTGTTAACGCGCCCATTCCCGGGTTAACAATATCTGTACCAAAACTAATCCAGTTAGCACAGAGAATTCAAAAAAAATTCTTTTCACTGAACTAAACTTTGAAGAATTCTTTTTGCATCTGAAAATAAACTCAGAATTGATGACATACGACTGAATTCTTTTTGAATTCACTGTACTATCTGGGAATATATCGTTAAAATAGGTCAGGATAGGTAATACATCACTGACGTTGGTTAGCCAGTGATTAGTTATCGCTCGGTGCAAATCTTTTTTCGTTAATAATCAAAATTTTACGTGGTCGTCTCTACTTATTATTTAACCTGATCTATTTTAATCTAGCTTTGGTACGGATGCTGTCAAACATCGGGTATATATGTGTGTGTAAAAAATATACGTTTAATTATATTTATATGTAATATTACTTATATCTATTACACATATTAATAATTATATAACGATCCATTACAATATTATTTAATTTTACAGGAGTGATTGAGTTTCTTACGTCAGGGCGTGTAGCGGCGGATCATCGTGATTTTAAGGACTTAGCGTACAAATCGTGTTTACAAAAGATCTCCGGCTGCGACAAACCCAACGAATTCACGCACTCTTTCAAGCTTGCATCCGCCTATAGCGAGGATATCATGCCCTATACTAATTATACGTAAGTGCAATTTGTTCGACGATACGTCTCTCTCTATTTCACATGTCAATTAAATATAAAAAATGTTCAAATCACATATCGCTCATTCGCTACAACAATGACGTAACTAAAAAATTACAATTTTTTAAAAAGCTGTTATCAATAAAAAATATAAACGCGGAAATCGTTCTTTTTATAATAATAACTAAAAAATGCTAAAATTTTGATTTATGTCATTGTTGCAGCAAATGAGCGATATGTCCTATATGCTAAACAGAAAATAAGAAAATGCGTACACAGTGATTTAACAATCTCAACAAATTGTCGAAGCTTAATCACTTTCGTTGCAATATATACATGTACATAATAAACTTAAATATTTAATTAATAGTCTTCTCGCGTTTCCAGATTTGAATTTAAAGGCATAATAGACTACATTTTCTACTCGAAGCAAAGCATGGTACCGCTGGGACTTTTAGGTCCGCTTAGCCAAGAGTGGTTTAGAGAACATAAAGTGGTAGGATGTCCCCATCCCCATGTACCATCTGGTAAGTTCTTTTCATAAACGAGTCTTCTCTATAAGATGTTTCTCTATAAGTTGTTTGTACAAGAATTTTTGTCACCAAGTGCGAATTATTGCTCAAAAATATATAGATTCGATAATGGCTTTTGGGGGGGGGGTTTTCAGATCATTTTCCTCTGTTAGTGGAACTGGAAATGACACCGACAGTAGGAACAAGCAATGGTTTGATCTCACGCAGGTAGCAGCCGCTGCGATCTAGGCCCAAGTAACCGTCAAGAGACGATAAATCAATAATGAGAAACGACGAGGATGAAAAAAAAAGGATTCGCATCACTTCTATTACTTCTGGCTCTAGCAATATCACTCGCAGTCGACTATTATTCTACAATGGCAAACACTACACACAGTCACTACACACACGCGCATACACTACATACCATTACACCATTATGTACGTGTAGTATATACACATACATGCGAAATACTCCATACATTGCCGTACACTCGACTACAAATTGTCAATCCGGTGCACGGCCGGATCAGACAAAACACATAATTCTAACGACCAGGTGAAGAGAGCCGTGTTGTAATGCGTTTAGCCCATGTATAGTGTATTGCATTTTTAAAAAAAGTGCTAACTCTCCCACGCCTAAAGAGCATCGTGACCTCTCTAACTTACTATCACTAATATGTAGATACCTATTTTCCTATAAAATGAGAGATGAAAAAAATGCGAAAGGAGGAAAAGAGGAAACGACGACGAATATTCCGATTCAAGAAAAGCCTCTGTGATATCGACATTTTAAATGCAATTGGAACAATTATTCACGTGTTTATCACACAACAGAGAAACTTAGCGTCTTGCTAGAGAGAGACACACACAACCCTTTAGCAGAACAGAGAACCCCTCCTTCCCTTCCCCCCTTCCTAAATGTCATTACAACATCCTCCAAACCAAGACCTTTTGATAAGAATGCTGCCATCCAATGAGACAAAAGAAAAAAAATTGTATTTTTAAACGAAACGCGAAGCAAACGAGAAAAAAACTACGAAAAACATACATGCTATACTGGGCTGTGCGAAGTGATTGGAGTTGACTTAAACAATTTCAATGCAAGTACAAATCTGTTCTTATTGGCCACGTATATATTGATAATACGATAATGTTATATAAGAAGGCGAGAGCGTAGTTGATATTGTAGCGGATGTATTTGTAAGTAAAACAATAATGTAAACGATGTTTATCATCACACGTCTATCATAGCGTCGCGCGAAATCAGTCGCCATTTTCGCCCATACTTATAGGTATGTCCATTCGGCTCGGATTATTAATGTATGCGCTCTATACTATCGCGTCAGAAAGAATATTACTACTTGTTAATTCAGTTGCCACGAGAGAGAGAGAGAGAGAGAAAGGGAATTCTGTGCAATTTGACCGCGCGCGAACCGCCGCCTCGCTATGACCGTATCGCATTTTTTTTTCTTTCCCTCTCTTTTTTTCTGTTTATTAGTTCTCGCTTTATCGTACCTATCATCATCGTCTAGTAAACGTGCAGTTATATAGTCGCAGCTACCAAAATGTAGATTCTAATTATTACTAGTTATCATGTAGGATGCGTGCACTTAGAAAGTGAGAGAGAGAGAGAAGGAGGGAGGGAGAGAGACCAGTATTTGGGACTATATTGAATGATAGGGCGCTATGAAAACCGCAATGATACATTTAGTATGCAGTGCAAATATACTTTACGTAGCGCATCGTTAAACACTTCACATTTCGGTCTTTCATTCGCAATCGATTCGTCCGACGGTTCTTGGCGCGCGAACGAACCGAGAGGGAAGAAAGAGAGTTCTCGATGTTTATACGTTTATATATCGCTGTACATAATTTCATTCTTCGTTTCCTATCTCTCGAAGCGATATCCGAATGTACTGTAGATATGAGATATAATTTTTCTTATATATGTATGTTTTGTAAATATGACAATGGTACGTTGTTTTTTACGTTGACTGCAATTTACGGGTACCTTTATTACTCTGTTCTTCGAGTAGTAAATCAAGGGCGATGCAGAAATTTATTAGACACTTCACGATTTACGCACATGCTCTGTAGAATTACAGACAATCTTGACGTCATGCCTCATGTCGTTTTATTATTTCTTTTCAAACTATCCAGAAGAGAACTTGTTCTCACGAAGGTGTAAAAAATACTCACTTTATACTCGCGCGCCTTGATTGTGTGTACAAATTTTACATCTTGATCGTATGTACAAATTTTTGTTCTTCTCTTTTCGCGCAATATAATAATTCTTCCCTTCTAACTTTCTTTATAATTCTTCTAAATAGCTCTTCGTGGGACATAGTTATGAGAAGATCCTTTGCATGTCATGGCATGATAAAAAGATACGATTAGACTTTCGACATATACATCTTTTTTTGATAGCATACTCACAAAGTACGTGCGATAACACGACACGAACGATACCGAAGCACATCGGGAAGATACGTAAAAGTTTATACATCTACTATAATAATTCTTAAATATTTTATGAATATCGCATAGCAATATAACAATTGATCTCGTTATGCACGGCACAATCGATAATTAAGAAGAAACCCAGCAAACGTTAAGTAACAATTATATAACAGTTAGTTATAATTTCTTACTTGACAATACAACGCATGTGTTATATTGAGTGGAAAATTATAACTGAGATTTGAATTTAGATTTAAATTTGAGTTTTTTATAAAAATTTGAATTATAAAAGTAACACATGCGTTATATAACAGTTATATTGTTGAATAAAAAATTATAGCTGATAATTATATAACTGTTACTTGATTTACTGAGAAGGGACTTTTTCCATTTGGCTTGTCTTGGTTTGCGCGCGTCATCTGCAGCCTCGTCAACTGAATTACACAAGTAGTAAGCGATTAGTTTGTCAAAGACACATCTGTGTAGTAAATGTTGTAATAATATAAAATAGGTAATTAGTTTTAATTATTATATCCTCTGGCGAAAGAGATAGTATCTCTGCATATATATATATATATATATATATATATATATATATATATATATATATATATATGTACACATATATATATGTATTTGTATATTCCTTCGTTATATATTAAGCGTGTTTTCGCACATGGCAAACGAGTGACACGTCTCCATGCGACTGTCTCTGATGAGACGTGTTAGAGTCATTATCGATTGCTGGCTACTTCGGGCCTAATTTCGGAACGCGAATAACCCGAGGAGGAGAGATTACGATGACGATCTCTCCTTGACAATGACGGTGACGAAATTGGAGAGAATATTTATTTATGCTGCCTTGCATTAAGCCCACACTGCGGACGATCTGTAATTCGCAATTGAATTTTTCTTGTAATATACATATACAGTGAGTAATAAATATCGACAATGCGCTTCAAACGTCAGGTGATGAAGCATGCATTGAGAAATATTGGTACAAGTCTGTTTAGCTATTTATTTAAAAAAAAAAAGCGATCATTACAAAAAGTATTCAACATTTGTAAAATATTTTTATGCGACATTCGAGGAAAAGTTGTATTCCGTTGGCAATCGGTTTTTGTTAGTCTTTGTAAACAACGAGCGCGACAGCTAAGAATAACTCGAAGAGAACAATTTCACTCCGAATACCGTCGCAAATCATAGATTGTCCGAGATGGGCTCTGTAAGAGGCGAAATGAGAACAGAACAAAAAAAGTCAGAAGAAGCGCACGATAATAATAGTTTTTAACTCGCTCCTTTTTTTTGCCATTACGATATATTATGTAGCGAGGAAATTAGTGAACAGTTCGTAATATGGTCTCTTAATTCTTAAAAGTAACGTGTGCGAAAATGTATTTTCGGGGTGAAAGTACCTATGTTTTGCTTGAACGCGGGATCTTCCGGCTGCCTTGACGGCGATCAAAATTTGGACCAGCACCACAAGTCCTTTTTTCTGTGTGTGAGGACAACTAAAAAGCCAAACACAAAATCTGACACGATTTCTTTGCGAAATTTTGCTTTCTTTTGCGATCGCGCTCAAGATGATATACCAAAAGGGAAAAACAGTGCGTAAGCGATATATCTCAGCCAAAGCTAGTATTCTCCGAGATCGCATGGGTATTTTCATCGCTTCCCTCCGGCGAAGCTCACTCCGTGATTGTCTCTTATCTACTAGCAAGAGCGTCAAGCTAAACTAAAAAAAAGAATTGAAAGAAAATGAAAGAAAAGGTAAACAGAACATGAGTGTATACGTTTGTATCTATTCGATTCTTGTTTTCCGACATGTGGACATGCATTTGCGTTTTAGGGATATAAATGTAACAATCAATTGTATAATAATGTGCAACATGGGGAGAAGAAGCCTCTGTTCGATCGAAGACGCGTCAAATCAAAGCGCTTCTTGCATGATGTAAGAAAAACGTAGAAAAAGACGCGAGCACATATTCGCTGCCTCGTTCCTCCTTCGTGATCGCTTTTCAATTGTTGTTCGTGAAGATATATATCGAGAGAAATGTATACACGCTCGCTTTAGCACGTATATACACATCTTTGTTGGCAGGGAGCGAGAACGAGTGGTTATGATCGGTCAGTTGGTCGGGCGACGATCGTACGCACGACGTGCTCGCATGCATTTCGGCTCGCTCGCCAAACCGTAGTGTAATATTTCGGATGTATTAGCTTCTTGTTCGAAGCGAACGGAGAGACTCGAGGGAATTCACATAATATGTACTGTAGACTTTCACGAACATCCAATTGCTGCCGCTGTTGTAAACTCGGTGATACTGCGAGACGACGTTTCAACTTTGTATCAAGAAGAAAGATCAAAGGACCGTATTTTCTCGTGGGCAAAATTCAAAATATCTCGCAAATTATACTCGAACATGTAACTTCGGTTTATTCATCTGGCTTTGTGGGTAACGATTCAACGACATTGCGAGCAGATGGTTCCTGCGACGCGAATGGATCAATATTAGTTGCATATTAATCGGTCGATCAACCGATTGATGCGCCGATTGAATGATTCGCGCTGTGTCACGTCGTCTCCGAGATCGCCGTTCTTCTTTCGGGACGTTACCGCAATTCAGTAGAAATAATTTGGAGGCTTTTCACCGCGAAAAGGTGCAAAAATCGACCGCGGATCGTCGTGAGAAATTTTACGCTATAACGCGCGTTATCTTACATTAGAATTATGGTCGAGTTTTTTAATTCATTGATGGATCCATCGTATGATGCGCAAATGCAATGTTTCGCTGTATTTACGCATCATGCAATGGATCCATCGATGAATTAAAAAACTCGCCTTATATTAACGTGTTCTCTCGTTTATTTGTACAACGCGTACACACAACATGCGCACGCGCGAAATACACACACGTAGTAGCAATGTTTTTAAGGGAATCGTGCACATATACTGTAACGAAAGTGTTTGATGAATCCCGAATCGACTCTTTCGGCATGGGCTTTCTACGAATTCAAATTTTATCGAGATGCAAAAGCATGTAAAAAAGAGAAAAGGAACAGACAGATCTTTAGTTTGATATTTGACGGGGATCATCTCTATGTTATGAATAAAATTTCACCACCTGACGCGCAAAAGTCCGATATCACCCGTGTCGAAAGAGTTGTTCAATTCTAATTTCACCCCGCGTTCTCTCTCTTTCTCTCTCATTTCCTTTTTCTCTCTCGAATAGAATCGACGCCGGCCAGCGAGAATTGTATATAAATTTTTTCTACTGAATGAAGAAGCGTGCTTCACACGATCTGCGATTCGCGACGAGATATTCCATTTATAATTCTATCGCGTCTCACGCGTCTCGATCGAAGGATGAGAATTCTAGTGAGACGAGCAGCTTTAAAAACGCGATTCCAGCCTCTCTCTCCCTCTCTCTGAATGTTTTCTCGCGGGTAGATCTCAAGAGACCAGAATAATATCGCACGACAACGGATCGTTTGAAGCGTGCTCGTTAACGTAATTTTAACACGCATAATAATAACGATCCTGACCCTAGAAATGCGACCCTAGAATATCGTATATTGTATCGAAATAACGCGTGCTAAGGTAGATATTAGCTATACAGCTCGAAACAAGTCGATTGTAATCGTTTCGCGTCGCGAATTTTCTCCAAGACGGGTTTTTCTTTCGATTATAGTCGATGTCTCGCGTTTGGAATCACGAGGACATGCTTCGCGTAGGGGAGAATTCACATCTTGCAAAGAACAGAAAGGCAGAAGCTAATCAAAATATATATATAAGAAAATAGAAAAGCAGCAGCTGTCTGTTGATATATTCTGACCAGCAGCGCGAGTTCTGATTGGCTTCTACCTCTTTGCTTTCTGCTTTTCTATCCCAAGATGTGAATTCTCCTTTACAAGGATGTAGCCGCCCGTCCCGAAACGCTTGACGATACAGTCGATTTTGTTTACATCATCAAACGATTGACGGTTTGTCTTAGCGATCTCTTTGTAATTAAGACATCCGCATATCGTTAAATCTGATTTAACGTGTTGCATGTTAAGTGACACACGGGAGGTAATGCCGCAACGCCAAGTACATAAATTCTGAAGGACATTCAGTTTTACTATACGAAATTGACATCTTTTTCTCTCCCGGTGAAATTCTCGCGGTTCGTTTTGCCGATCGATCTTACGGTCGATTCTCTGCCGACTTTTCGTTTGTCAATCACGTGAACGAGGATAAGTAACGTCACTCGCGAAGAGTAAGATACTTATCTAAGCTTGACAATAAGTGGGACAGTCCCAGGAACTGTCCTTGCATTATTTCAACAGATGTTTTAATAAGGAATCTTTCGTAGTGCTCTTACCGCCATCGGTGATAGGCTTCACTGGCCTATACGTCATTTCATCCTTTTATTTCCCTCCGTCTCTCTTTCTCTACCGCAGTGTATCATAATTCTCTGCTAGATTACTTTGACTTGTATTAATAATCGTCACGTGAAACTTGGATGAGGTATTCAGATTTGAATTTAGATGTTAGATGTGAGTTTTTCAATTGAATTGCGATTACAAATGTATTATATAGTTCAAGCAAGAAACTCAAATCTAAATTCAGATCTAAATATTTCACGTGGAACAAGTTCCAGATAACGACTATTAATACGGGCTTTTAAGTCTTCTGGTTCCCTCGTCGCGGCAATCTTGATTTAAGCCATTGATCCAGAAGCCAGTGAATGCACGGCCAAAATTTCTGCAAAGTACGTTGAAATAAAAAGATATATAAAAAAAACATTCATTATATCTATGACACTTGCAATCGACTGAACACTAAAATATTTCCAACGCTTTTCTGTTGCTCTAACAATCAATAGATTACTGTGAAATTAAAACACTTACTTTTTTCATCTAACTTTCCTCACGATTTTGTCACATTAATTTTGTAGTTACTTATTGATTGTTAGAACGAAAGAAAAGCATTCAGGACTATTTACAAATGTGTCCGATCGATTGCAAGGGTCATCGCATGGATACACATTTTTCTATTACAACGTATTTTATAAGAATTTTTGTCGTATATTTTTGACGTCATATACTATGACGTCATCAATCGAGAGTTTCGCGACGAGGTGCCTCAAACATTTATCTCGTGAACAACACATCGGTCTTTGCTTTATCGCGCGATCGTGTACTGTAAATATCTAAAAAAAAAGAACAACTGATTAACCACTTTGGTTTCGAAAAAGGAAAAGGCATATTGTAAACATCGTGATTCGTAGCCGTGATAATTTTGTAAAAAGATAGCGATTTATTTATTCAACGTTAACGGTGTGTCGCGTGAACGCCTCCATTCCATTTTTTGTACGGAAAAACAACTGAGAAAGTGCCAATTTTCTTCGAGAATGCATTTCTTCATGGCACTGTCTTTTCAGAACCGCCGCGACGACGCGTTTGCAGCGAAACGCGTAGTTTCCTAAATAATGTATCGCATCTGCGTAGGGGGTCTTTTGAGCCACGGAGTCCTCGGGCTGCGTTCTGTGGCTGCATTTCATGGGGTTCTGCCCGATTTCATCTGTTTTTAACGAACACTTTGACAACTCCATCTCGACTTAATCAACTCTCTCTGTAATGTCGCCTATCTCGTTTTACGCGTTAGAAGAATTAGAAGAATTCAACGAACATTCGCGAGGAACTACCTCGAAAGAATCCGTGGACGCGAGGATGATTGAGAATCCCTGTTCTCTAAACGAACTTTCCTGAGAATTCGAATAGATCGCGTCGAAGAGAAACTAGTATTATCTGCCGATATTCGAGGTGTCGAGCGAATGAACCAGTCAATGTACGTCAATGAGGATTCATCAAACTCTGTGTAGCGTGTAATAGTAGAATAATCTTTATCTATCTACGTTGTCAAGCCGCTAAGTTGTTTTCTCGAGTCGCGCTCCAAGGAAGAGGAAAATATCATTTCTCCAGTTTTTATGAAGTTTCTCGGATAACGTGTGCGTGCGCGTGCACCACGCGTGTCAGGCACTCTCTCTTCTCTCCGAATACCATTGATTTCTTTTTCCTTTTTTTTTTTACCATCCTCTGAGCTCCTTATACGACAGCAATATCAGAAGCGCGTTTCTCGGTCTCTTTTTGATTCTCTCTTTCTTTTAGATATTATTTCTTAATATTAAGTAGATCTTTTTATTTAGGATCGATGTGGTGGAGATAGCGATGATTTTTTTTCAAGTCTCTTGTACAATGTGAACGCTGTGTTCTACCGCTTGGAATGTTTAGCGTATACTCTTGGTATAATTTTGATTGATAATCTACGATTAGGATCGTAACTTAAGGATAACACGTATGCATAAATATAAACAAAAAGGACGCTGTACGCGCAGTCTGACGTGGAATAATGCGCAATCGTGAATTCGAGAAACACTTGGCCAACAATCGACCAAGTCGCAGGAAAAAGGTTGAAATTCTTCCATTTTTACGACGCACATTCGGCTCATATATCCGCTGAAAAACGAAAGAATCAGATTGACTGATGTACTAAAAATTTGTACAGACTGAGAAAAAGTTGGCCCGAAGAGAAAAGGAGAAAAAGCGCGTCGAACTTCGAAGTTATTATTCTACATGGCATTGCGTGATACAGCGTTATACTTTGACTTCCATAGTTAAGAAGATATACAGTTACACTAGGATATTATAAAGATAAGACGAGCACAGCACATTTCAGCCTGTACTTTTATAAAAAGAGCGATCAAAAAAAAATGTCGTAGACCTTGGAACACAATTGTTGCGTCCGTCGTAAGATCAATTACATCTCAGCGCTTAAAAATCCGCGAGTTCAATCAGGTTTCGTGTAAGCTCTCTCTCTTTCTCTTTCTTTTTTTCTCTTACTTTTCTTTCTTTTTCTCTTTTTCTCTCACTCTTCTTTCTTTTTCTCTTGAAAGAATTTAGTCTTTCGTATCGACACTTCTCATCGTGTACGATTCGGTCGCTTGATTCGTGATTCGCACGAAGTTGAGGAGCGCTCCTAACTGACTTAACTAACGAGAAATTATTTACATCTGGAAACATCAAATTCGTGACATTGATTGTTTAAATAATTGATACGATTGTGCCGCATGTATTTTTCTAGAGACTATTCTGTTTCGAATATATTCAGCATGGATTCGATTCTATTATTATACATCTAGTATGCTGTCGATATAAATCAGATAGTAGGTTCTATACTCGCGGGTACCTGTCCCCTCCGTTACTTTAGCATCCTTCTTTATTGAACACTCACGTACAGAATGAAATATACTCACGATGAAACGCGGCAAAAATAAAGAGTACAAATGTAACAGCTATACACGGTCCTGATTGAATGGTCCTGAACGAAAATAGGAGTTGTAAAGGCATAAAAAATTAACAAAAAGAAAAGAAAAACAAAGGAAACGAAGGAGAAAAGTGTGGTCTAATAGAGAATTAAATGTAAAATTTTTGCGACTATATCACACGAGTTTGAATGCTCCGTCGAGTCTGCTCTTTGAATATCCTTTCAGTTTTCACCTGAACAAAAGAACATCCCTCCTTCTGTGGTATGCTGTATAATTTCTCTTTTTATTAAAGATGCAATGATTGTATATGGGCTGCGTTTGAGTCATGACCGAATGTAACGATTTATTATATAAGTAATGCAAAATAAATGAAAGATAAGTGCAAGGAATAAAATAAGTCATTCCTGTAACTTTCTTCTGCTTTCCCCATTCTCTGCAAGATTAACACGCGAAAGTCGCGAAACGCGTGTTCTTACCCGTAATTCGTCAAAATATTGATAATTGTGTAAATGGTATCTGACACGAGATGGTGAAAAGCACATATGTAGATTAATTATATCAAACGAAAAGAATACCATTTTTTCAAACAACCAAATTTTGAATTTCAAATTTCGAGATATTAAGGAGGCAATATTTCAAACGATATCACCTTCTTAATGGAGAAATATTGACGATCGCGCAATGTTGTGAGTCGCGAGCTTTGTCTCATCGAAAATGGCTCAAACGTTGATGTTTCAACCATTTTCAATGAGATCTCATATGTACTTACAGTATATAATACTTATATGATAATAGTTAAATTATAACAAAACAACCAATTTATTTTGCACTGTGCAAAGTCAATCATAACAAATATTACAAGAGTCTCAGATTTACATTATTTATATATACTTAAATATTACATCCTCTTTGCTATTAGTTGTTACCAGTTCTATTTTGATAGGACATTGCAGCCAATAACTTAAGAACTCTTCTGTATAACCAATTAAGAAATATATCTTTGTAGGTGCTATGGTACGAGTGATGATTCCAGCTATCCTAATAATATTGTGCTGCCGTTTAATAATAACCTCACTAGCAAATAAATTGTGCCAGGTGCCTCTCATGAACTGTCGAATGAATATATCCTCTATAGCTGTTTCAGATGGCCTATTGCCATCCTTAATGTTTGCTAGAAAGATAATACACTCAATTAGGAAGCAAGAGATTGATAAGCAGATTTGTTGTATGCTTACAGGTGTTCCAAGAGTTCCAAGACTTTCTGTGAGCTATATAATGAGGTGGATTTGCCATTTCATATGTCAGTGGCTTGTCTTTGTTAACTGTGATTTTGTATCGCCCAGACTGGACTTTGCTGAGAACTGCACTCATATGGAAATGTCTCTGTGCGAGTGTTTGTTGTATGACAGGTAACACCTGCAGACCATCAATGCAAAAATGTCATTTTCAACAGATCAATGTGTACGATATCGTTACGTAGAAATTACGATAAAAAAAATTCTCAAATTTCAGGAATTTATTTTCAAAGTACTATATTCAAGGTACAATTTGCAAAGCTAAACTTCAGTACATTTTTCATGTGTTGTAGCGACATCATCTTGCCGTAATATGACACTCCGACGTTTGATTAATTAACCACAAAATATAAATTGATATTCAATTTCTTTACGTTCCGTTTCTGTGGCTCCGTCAATTTCTTGATGCTACATAACGTCACAAAGTGAACACTGAATAGAATCATGAGTTCAATTTAAATTAGTGGCGGTTCGTAGCGGATATTTTAAGAATTAAGTAAAGAATGTACATTAATTGTCCATGATTCAATTGTGCATAGCCCCACAAACTACATCAATTGGCCGACACTAGAAAACTTCTAGATCATATGCGGTTGTGATTGGTGGTTTCATCTTCAGATATTCCATAACCAATGAAATAATCTATACAGCATCTGAAGATAAACTTAAGGCTGAAGTCCTATTGCATGTATTTTCCGCGTACTGCGTAAGCGCGTAATCAATAGATTGGCTGCGTTCAGCAGAAAGAAAGCTGAGCAAACCAACACGAAAACAAGCATCGTGTACCGCTGGCTTAACTTATTGCACCAGTACTGGGATTCTGTAACTCGTTATTGGAGTTAACGATAGTTTCGTTATCATTGCGCAGCTTTACTTTTGATCTGTTTTTTCAGCTTTACTTTTGATCTGTTTTTTCAGCTGCACTGCTGAACTGAAAGTGAGACAAATATATGTTTTCTCACTCTAAAGCCAGCGGCACACGATACTTGTTTCGTGCTGGATTGCTTGCTGGATGGAAATACTCTATTCTGATTGGTCCGTCTTCAGAAATGCACCAATCAGAACAGAGTATTTCCATCCAGCAAGCAATCCAGCATGAAAACAAGCATCGTGTGCCGCTGGCTTAACTTATTGCACCAGTACTGGGATTCTGTAACTCGTTATTGGAGTTAACGATAGTTTCGTTATCATTGCGCAGCTTTACTTTTGATCTGTTTTTTCAGCTTTACTTTTGATCTGTTTTTTCAGCTGCACTGCTGAACTGAAAGTGAGACAAATATATGTTTTCTCACTCTAAAGCCAGCGGCACACGATACTTGTTTCGTGCTGGATTGCTTGCTGGATGGAAATACTCTATTCTGATTGGTCCGTCTTCAGAAATGCACCAATCAGAACAGAGTATTTCCATCCAGCAAGCAATCCAGCATGAAAACAAGCATCGTGTGCCGCTGGCTTAACTTATTGCACCAGTACTGGGATTCTGTAACTCGTTATTGGAATTAACGACAGTTTCGTTATCATTGCGCAGCTTTTCTACGGTATACAAAAGCTGCGCAACGATAACAAAACTGTCGTTAACTCCAATAACGAGTTACAGAATCCTAGTACAGGGGGCCCTATTCCGTAACCACTTACCGACAATTGTCGAATCGATAGACGTCGTTGCGCAGCTTTTTTGTACTACAGAAAAGCTGCGCAATCACGACTACCGATCCGACAATTGTCGATAAGTGGTTATGGAATAGGGCCTCAATTCAGCAGTGCAGCTGAAAAGAACAGACCCTTAGTCTGTTCTTTTTAGCTGCACTGCTGAACTAGTGCAATAAGTTATGGCTCCTGCACACAGGACGCGGTAATGCTTGCCGCGTGGCGGATGTCCGCACGACAGCCAATCAATATGTTGTTTTTCCGTAAAAGCTAGAAGGTTATTACGGAAAGCAGCATATTGATTGACTGTCACACGAACTTCCGCCACGCGGCAAGTGTTGCCGCGTCCTGTGGGCAGGAGCCATTAGACTGAAATAAATATACTTTCTCTCACTCTAAAACTGGCCACACACACTTTCCGTAACAGTAACCGTAATAGCTTCTGCCCACAGGACGCGGTAACGCTTGCGCGCGGCGGAAGTTCCTGCGACAGCCAATCAATATACTACTTTCCGTAATAACCTTGTAGTTCTCACGGAAAAACAACATAGTGATTGGCTGTTGCGTAAACTTCCGCCGCGCGACCTTTAAAGGCCAAATCACACTAGCGATTGGCGATTAATGATTGACAATTAAAGATTGGAACTTGACCAATTGGAACAAAGCAAGCTAAGGTTAAAGCTCGTTGATTCGTCAAAATCTAATCTCAATCATCAATCGTCAATCGTCAATTGCTAGTGTGATTTGGCCTTTACGGTTACTGTTACGAAAAGTGGCTGCGTTCCGAAATTCACTGCCAGTGCTGAAATTCTATAGTATACGTGACATGAACTATAAATTTTCAGTACTGGCAGTGAATTTCGGAACGCAGCCAGTATGTATGGCTAGCTAACTTATTGTGCTAGTTCAGCAATGCAGTTAAAAAGAATAGAGCAACTGTCTGCTAACAGAAATGATAGAAATAGAGAAACGTCATATTCAATAGAAAAACGTCTACATACTCTAACACGTTATAATTTATAAACATCAGTGTGATACATATAAGAAACAGAAGAGGAAGCAGAAGACAATAAATGACTTTGAAATTCTAATGACACCCAACATTTGAAAATTTCTTAAATGGTGTATAAAATCATCATAAAAATATAGTGTTGTAAGTTAATACTGTTATTCTATCTCTTTATAAACAGTATCTCTGATATATTCGCTATTTGTGGTATTTCAACCACTTGTGTGGAAAGTGCTTTTTCATTAAAATATTTCAAAATAGAAACTTAAACTTTGCATAAATACAAAAGAATCATTTATTTGCATCAATCTGGTATATTTGCAGTTACATTTATGTAAAAAAAATACAAAAATGTTAATTTATGTTATTTTACATAGTAGATATCATACTTTCATTTTTTGAGCAGCATTTTCCATGGCAAGCACATTTATGGTTATGTATAAACCTGTTTTTCATTTTCTGTTATATTATCTATATAACAAAAATTACTGATAAAGTTCTTTATTTAAAAAAAAATGTATTCTCTTTATGAGAATATCATTAAACTAAGAAAAAGTTCAATTTCATGTAGTAGTAAGTAAGGTGTATTTGAATACAGGTTGTAGGTGAATATTTTAATGTCATATTCTTGATTGAAATGTTAAATGTTAAATAGGGTTTTGAATATATCTTGAACAAATTTGATGCTTGTGATAAAAATTTATAACAGATTAGTGGACATCTAAATTTATGAAATACTTGAAACAAGTAATATTTCCTTGAATGCAGTATATGTATTTGTCTACTATGTGTACTAAGTTTTAGACCCGATTGTTCAAACCTCTTGATAAGCTACGTGACGGTTAAATCATGTCTGTGTCTGTTTTTTCTTCAAATTAGACAAAGACAGATATGATTTAACTGTCAGGTAGCTTACCAAGAGATTGGAACAATCTCCCTAAAGACTAGTTGTTCCAACTCCTTAATAAATTAACTGATAGTTAAATCATATGTCTGTCTTTGTCTAAATTAAAGGAAAAACAAAGACATATGATTTAACTAACAGTTAATTTACCAAGAAGTTGGAGCAACCGGCCCTAAGTCATGTTTCTTTCAGGGATAGTTTGGTTCCATTCTTGCTGGGTGCAGAGGTTACTTTAGCCTGCCACATCACGATTATCCCATATACAGGATCAACAATATATAGCAAATTGAAGTATTTTGTATCAGCAGGATGCTAATTACAAACAATACCAGACTAATGATTCTTAGCAAATATCTAACCCGGAGGAGTTATTTGGATAACACGTACTGTTACTTGAAAACCTATCGGGACAATTATAAGCACCTGGTCCAGGTGTTTGGTTATTCTACAAAATTCGACACCAAGGACAAAAAACTACCTGTTGATTCAAGAGTCGAGGCGCTGCGTGAAAAATTGATATATTGCGATCATCTGGATCGCGATCGAGTAAGGCCGGGTATTCTGAAACGTTTTTTAAGAAATAAGCTTGCCAAGAATATCGAAAAGGAAATGCAAACTTGGAAACTCGTTCATGACCCCGTCTATAGCGTATTATTGGACACGGGTGAGAAAAACGACGTAAGCTTGCAAGGAAATCAAGAAGAAGAAGTCTCTGACGCGAGTTCGAGGAAAGACGTAACGAGGCCTGTACATATGCCGTACGCTAGCACAGATAAGTACAGTAACGTAAACATAGCCGCGGATAATTCCATTGAAGTAGATTTCAACGAGAGCACATTACCATTGAATGAGAAGTACAAAAGCCTCTATGAGAAATATCTAATAGCGAAGAACATCCTCGAGGAGAACACCGGCGAAGATCTCACGCTGAATGAATATATGGAGAAGAAAGGGATAAGCGTATCTTATAAGACCGATCTGTCGAATGTTCCGACCAATTGGATGACCGACTACGAGCAATTCGATGACACATTAAATGATGAAACGTGGCTTAATAACTACGGCACCCCGGATCCGAACTCCAGAGTCAGTCCCGTGCCATGCGGCGGTTGCGGTGCTTTATTGCACTGCAAGGATCATGCTTTACCGGGCTACCTGCCATCGGAGCTCTTCCTGAAAAAGAACATATCTGAGCTACGGCTCATGATCTGCCAGCGGTGTCATTTTATGAAGTATTATAACGCTATGCTGGAGGTGAAAGTGTCGCCGGATAAGTTCGTGGAGTTGATCAAAGTCATCAAGACGAAGAAGTGCGCCGTGATCTTGATGGTCGATCTCACGGACTTCCCGTGCAGTATATGGCCGGAGATCAAAAGTGTGCTACATCCTCGAACATTAGTGTTCGTCGTGGGCAACAAGGTGGATCTGTTGCCTCAGGACTCGCCGAAATTCTTCACTCACGTTAAGGAGTGTCTGTCGAAGGCTGTGGAAAACACTGGAATCAGTAAGGAGTATATCAAACATGTAGCACTTATATCGGCTAAAACCGGCTACGGTATAGAAGAGCTCATTAATAAACTTCACAATCTCTGGAAGTATAAAGGTAAATACGTTTTTCTAAAGATATCTTTAATATTCTTGATATCACGGTGAACGTGCATGATAACGTGTAATATTGAAGTCCCGAATTTGAAAAGTAAAATAACGTCTCGTAAAGTGGATCCCAAAAGTATTTCGACATATTGTCCCGATATTCAGTTTTCGGGATTGTGATTTTTCGGAACATTGTACCACTCTTAAGATTTCAGTATTTTTTTTGGATTATGCATGTGTATTATCTCAATTCTTGAATACTTCGCTTTTCTCTCTTCTCTTGCCCTCTGTTTCTCTCCTCTTCCTCTCATAGATATAATTAATTCATTAATTAACTAATTAATCTCCAGGTGACGTTTACGTAATCGGATGCACCAACGTGGGCAAGTCCTCGCTGTTCAATACTCTGTTACAATCCGATTATTGCAAAGTGCAAGCCGTGGATCTTATACAACGCGCAACCGTATCCCCCTGGCCAGGCACAACTTTACGTCTACTGAAGTTTCCCATTCTAAACCCGCAGAGGTGGCGGCTGTACATGAGGATGATGCGTTTGCAAGAAGAGAAGCAGCAGTTGCTGGCCGAACAACAAATCAGAGTCGAGCAGTTCAAGCAGTCACGGAATTTGAAATACGTCACGTTGCAAAGTACGTTTTCGCACAGGATCTTCATCAAGCAGATCGATCACGTACGATCGATCGATACTTTCGATCTGCTCTAAATAAACATTAGACTTGGAATTTAGGTCGCATCGGCAAAACGTTTCAGCCGAAATCTAAACTTCAGCAAACGAAAGATCCATTCGCTATGGAGAAATACACGGCGAACACGCAAAACTTCGGCTTCGACGAGACAAAGGAGGAGTTCAAGTATAGCCGATGGTGTTATGACACTCCGGGCACTATTCAGCCAGATCAAATCCTGGATTTGTTGACGACCGAGGAGCTATTGTCGGTTTTGCCGAAACAAATAATCATACCGAGAACGTTCATTTTGCACCCAAACCAGACGATATTTCTGGCTGGGATTGGCAGACTGGATTATCTGGAGGGCTGCGACTATATCAGGTAATCGCGCGTAGAATCGCTAACGTGAGCGATGTAACGATGTTCCTCTAGCGCGAAGATATGCCAATGTTAAAAATGATTGTGCGTAATTGTCGCGTAGATGTACGATATTTGCGAGCACTGAGTTACCGATTACTATGACTTTAACCGCGGACGCAGATGATGTGTACAATGAATTATTGAACACGAAAGCCTTCGTCGTGCCTGAGAATGATTCGGACCGACTGAAACACTGGCCGGCGTTAGGATCTAAGGAGATGAAAGTCACTGGCATCGGAAGGAACATATCGGTCGCCGACGTTGTTTTATCCAGTGCAGGTGATATTAATAAGTTATCTCTCTAATAACAGTTGATAAGAATAAAATTATTGATATGAATAAGATTATCTAATAACACGAACTTATGTCAAAATAGGCGAACATCACATAGTCGCGCTTTAACTTTTGATTTCACAACTGGGACCAAGTTTTTCATTGTTGTAGGATGGATGGCGATCAGCGTCAACATGGATGATACTGTCTTATTAAGAGCGTGGAGTCCGCAAGCACGCGGTTTACATCTCCGAATGCCGGCGCTCTTGCAGAAAACCGTTGCCCTGCGCGGCGATAGAATTTTTAATCTGCCGACATATAAGATAGGACAAGCAGCGTTTACAAAATAAAGAAAAAAAGAAAAAAATAGTTTATGTATACACACGTACCGTTTAGATACGTTTCCTTTTTCATATTATACATATCTCCTCCCAACGTAATCGATTTATTTCACGTGGCAATCAGTACTCGGCGAAAGAGAAATACCGCCATTGAAACACTCGTAGCGATGTTCTTAAGGCTCCTGGCTCCTCGCATTGTCTATCTCTTTTTAATGACGTCAGAAGCGAGAAAATGTATGCTAAAAATTCTTGCGAAATATGTTAAAATAAAAATATATATCCATAAAGTAACACTTACAATCGATTAAACAAATTTGTAAGATATTCCATGTACTCTTCTTTTGCTCTAATAATCAATAATATGTCGTAAATTAACGTGACATTCATCTTCTTAACCTATTTCTTTGCCTATTTCTATTCACATTAATTTACAATAAATTATTGATTGTTAGAGCAAAAGGAGTGCACGGAATATCTTACAAATTTGTTTAATCGATTGCACGTGTTACTTTATGGATATATATTTCTATTTCAATGTATTTCGCAAGAATTTTTAGCATGCATTTTCTCGCTTCTGACGTCATTAAAAAGAGATAGACAATGCGAGGGGCCAAGAGCCTAAAAAAGAACAATAATAGTCGAACAGTTTCTATAGACACTCGACAGTTTCTATTAACACGATCCAATCGCGTGAGCTTCTTTTAAATACCGTGTGTATGAGACATTCGATCAATGTGCTTCCAAATTTTTTTTATAACAACAATACAAAAATCGATACGAACGACCCTACTGGAACATAATTATCATATCAATCTTCGACTTCTTGTGCACGTATCTTTGCTTGTTTGTACATTCTTTTGTAGAATTTTTCTAGATTCTTGTAAAAAGTCTGACTTGAGTGAATTCGGTCCCGTGTGAATTCGCAAGAGGAGTCGTAATCTGCAACGCTGAAACAACAAACATTTTTGAAGTTCAAGTGTCGAGTTTTCATGTTTGCGTGGCGAATAATTTTACTCAGAGGAGTCACTTACTCATCCGTTTCTACGGTATACAATTTCCCTTTGGTTTTCTGAAGATTTTTCATTTTATGCAATCTACAACACGATGTAATGTGACGTGTCATGTATATAAGAAGAAATGTCGGAAAGACTCAAGTGATGTTCAACTTACATTGACATTGCCGGTTCTTCTTGCGTGTCGGATGCGCTATTCGATCCACAAACACAACAGCACGCTCTGTTATCGAATCGACTGTTACGATAGTGCGCAGTATCACTGTATTTTTGCTTAGGGCAATCGATGTAGAGCCCTTTGACTGCCACCGAATCGTCGTAGCATTTCGAAAAATAACAATTGTACTTTAAACAAACTGGACAATTGTCCATAACATGGCTGTTATCACACACGGCTGGCTTCTGCGAATATGATTCAGGCATATATGCGCCATCTTTTCTTAATATATGATAGCATTGGTGATCTTGTTGCGATCCTGTCCGATGACTTGTGATACACCGGCATCGATGAGAATCATCCACGCTACTCGATCTCTGGCGATACCTATAAAAGTATGCAATATATTAGAAATAAGAGAATTAGAAATAAGATATATACATATTTTGTATATATTTGATATATTTTTCTTCTTTATTAATTGTATACATATATAAATGAGATTATAATTATATAATAGTAAATATATAGTTTCATATTAATAATATTATATAATAATATCACTCGATACGATAAAACTTACGGTCGGCAGCTCTGAGATCTCAATTTACTCTTCGTATGGCATACCCTTCGTTGCCTAATGATGCCTTTAACCGGCCTCTTTCTCTGATCGCACGTGGTAGTTTGCTGAAACATATCAGTGCATATAAAATCAACCAGTCCTCGCGATTTACAAGCGAATGCACAAAATAGAGAATGGACGCGCGCTTAGTTCGCACGATTTCGATCGCCGTCTATGAAGTACCTTAGAGTTAATCATTTTTGGATTGACGACATAACATTTGCTCATACTTGTGTCACTGGGGCTTAATACTTCCTCGACTACCGTTTTCGTGGACACCTCGATTTTGGGTGCTATAATACCCTAATACGAAAAGAAACAATGGATGAAGGCTGTCGATTCTTGAGTTTTTCTGTTAATACACGGCAAAAAAGGACGTACCGGGAAACACTTTGTCGTCTCCATTAGTAGATCTATATCCACACCAGCCAGTAAACCTTTGAAACATGGCGCTGGATACAGTAAGTCTGCCAAATTTGTTTCAAACGTAGCTAGAGTGATGCCACGGCCTGTCATGGTGACCCACTGTATCAGTTCCGCGTGTAAAAACTCTTGCTCCAGGGTACGCTGCAGATCAGTCAAGGAGGCTATCCGTGTGAACACTTTACTGAAGGTGAATCTGTCGTGGAATAGCAGTGGAAAAATCGGGCTTATTCGTTGGGATTCCACGCAAGAATTCAGAGTATTGATCAGCAGTGCCACTTTGCCATTGGGACACAGCCAGACGCCGGGACACGTCACCTGAAGAGCACATTTTCTATACAGCATAATTCCGAAACAGTTTGTAACTTTACTCTAAATTTCTTGGAGTACAATTTTGTTCAAAATGAAAATACTATTATAAAAGTGAATATTGCACCCAAGCTTAAAGTGGATTATGAGGTTTGTTTTTTGTTCCTGCACTGCTGAACTGGTGCAGTAAGTTAGAGCGAGAAAAACTATACTTGTCTCACTCTAACTTATTGCAACAGTTCAGCAGTACAGGAACAAAAAACAAATTCCTAATTTCACACAAATGAATGTTTCGATTAGAGTGATGTTTTTGTAACAGTGGACACATCTCTTTAATTCACTCTTGAATTTACCATATAGTGGAGAATCTATTTTTTAAATAAATCTAAGAATTATTCAAATTCGCATGTCTCAGCTGTTCATTACTTTCTGAATAAAATTTTACTCCATGAAATTTAGAAAGTATTGATATCAACGATATACAATATACCGCGTGCACGTCCACTTGTATCTTGACGCAGAAAGCTCTGCCTGCCATGTCCGGATTGACAATCGTATTGATCACATGGATAACAGCATCATCTCACTAATTTGTATCAACGAATCATTCTCTCCGGTAATACATGATGACAATCGACAGGTTATCGCGTCGTGCACCTTTGAACTGAATGCTTAGAACGCGCTTATCCGAAGGCTCGGCTCGGAGAAGAAACAACTCTACTAACCAATGTCATCTCGCCACAGTACTTGTTGCCAGGAAACGGCAACATAACATTGGTATTGAATTTCTCCCAAGTTCAGTTGATTTTTAATTAAAATTACCATTGAATTTGTTTACACGGCAGCTTAAAACCGGTTTAACAACAACTATAGTTATAACTTCCGAAAATGTATGCTCGCTTACACGGAACAGTTTTAACTAATCTCCGCTATACTTACGAATGTTATAACTTCTGAGTGAAATAAATTAAAGATCGAAGAATGTATCGACAATGTTGAGAATATAATATATATAGTATAACCTACATGACTTTAAGACTTCAATAATTGGCTGAGTACACCTAACCATTAAGGCTATCGCACACAAATTGACATAACTGCATATGCATAGCATAAGATCGTATGGACCAATGAGCATCGAATATTAAGCATATGGCACCAATATGGCGACTTAATACTTGATGCTCATTGGTACATACGGTCTTATGCTATGCATATGCAGTTATGTCAATTTGTGTGCAATAGCCCTTAGTGATTCTACGCCATTGCTCTGACCACTGCTTTCATCATATATGTATTGACGTGATTGGCGGAATGTTCAGATTGTGTATCCAATTCGGCTTGAGAATTTCGCTAGAATCGAAAACAACTTTACATTGGCTGCGTTCAGTAGAGAAAGCTGCTTTGCAACTGTTGTAAAATTCGTGAATCTAATTGGAGCATGCTCTTAATTTTGGTTGAATCCAAGAGCATGTTCACGAATTTTACAACAGTTGCAAAGCAGCTTTCTTTGCTGAACGCAGCCATTGTTGTCGTTAAAGGCTAATGCAAAATAATCATTCTTCTGTGAGAACCCTAAATTGTGAATTTGTGCAATCAGTCGATTAATCACTCTGGGTTATTCAGCCTACGTTTATTGGTCGAACAAGTACTTATAAGCTTTATGATTGATTAGTAAAGACTTATGATGTCATTAATCGCTCTCGGAGCGATTAACCCAGGATCAATCCAAAACGCTATAAGTTTTTCTGTGTGCCCCTGCCCTTAGCGCATCACACGTCGCGTTGTCCGTCGCGGACCAGTCAAATCGTCCTATTTTATTACCTAACTTTACGATAAATAAAACGGATTTGACTAGTCCACGAAGAACCTCGCGACGCGTGACGCGCTAAGTGGGAACGCACCCTTAGGCTAAGTTCCCACTAAGCTCGTCACGCGTCGCGTCGTCTGCCTGCGTCACGAGTTAACCAATCAAATCGTTCCATTGGAACAAGTGTGTCATGCGTCGCGCGCGCTTCATCCCAATTAGAGGATTTGATTGGTTAATTCGTGACGCAGGCAGACGACGTGACGCGTGACGCGCTCAGTGGGAACTCAGCCTTAAAGTACAGCTGAGAGTCTACGCGCCATATAGTAGTATTATATATATGGCGTAATCAGACTGATTTAACCTCTATATGTTAATTTGAACGTGATATACTCTCTGATTACACTCACTTAACGCAAAATTACGAATTTTACGAGTTTATTTAATTGATCGAATTAATTAAGGTGAAGTATGGTATTCTTATCGTTATCTTTATTAGGAAGAAATCGAGGGCCCGATGAATTCTGGCGCAAACGCAAAATATTCATGCTCGCCGCAGTAAGTAATGCTTCTAAAAAATGTTTTTACGTTTGTTTGTATTAATTATTAATATATTTCGCATAATATCGTTAGCATCACATGGGCAGAAGAAGAAATTGCTACAGCATTGCTATCAGGAGTGTACATAGGGCTCTACAATATTGCACATTAGGCAGAAAAATAAAGAAGCAGGATATGAAAGAGGTATATTACTTGAAATATATCAAAATTTATGAATGATCTTGCAGTTTTTAAAGTATCTTGTGTGTGTGAAATCTCAGTTTTATCACATATTTTATTTTTAGTTGCGGGAACAGAGAATAGGAGCTGCTACAGCTGAACATGGCATAAATATGAATATTCTTAAAGAAGGTTTAACTAGATGTAATATTTTGCTGAATCGAAAGGTATTAGCTGACTTAGCAATCTGGGAACCACGTTCTTTCAAATCTTTAACTGATATTGCTTGTGCTAGAGCAAAACAAGATCATTTTACAGCAACCTCAAATATTGAAACACCAAAGAATGTCTTTGTAAGAGGATTGATTAAATAAACTTGCACAGGAATTGCATGTAGTAACAGATTTGTTCAAACATTTATTGCTAATTTCTCATATCTTTAAGTTTTATCCATCAATTGTATCAACAATGCTACAGAAATTGCTAATGATTACTTGAATTTAAGTGATCTGTTGCTCTAGAATATATATTTTGCAACATAGATACTCAAGAGTTACATATACAACAGTCATAACAACAATATAACATACTCCTCTATTTTAGATATATAGCAAGCATTTTAAAACTTGACAAAGTTTATAATGAATGTAACTTCCCTTTTTATCATTGGAATAATTTACATGTTCGAGTAAAATGACTAACGATATGCATCATCTCTCATTTGTACTCATAATATGCATAAAATCTCTGTTATATTTGATCTGGCACAACGTTATGGAAGATGATAAGTTTTTGCGTTTTAACAACGAGCATTAACGATCTGTACAAAGTCGGGTTTCAACGACGCGCCGCCGACCAAGAATCCATCGATGTCCTTCTCCTTCGCCAAGTCCTTGGCATTGCCCGCCGTTACGGAGCCGCCGTAGATGATCCGCAAAGTTTGCGAAACGTTGGGGTTGACGTTCTTGGACAACCATTCCCGTAATTTCTCGTGAACTTCCTGCGCCTGTTGCGGCGTCGCGGTTTTACCTGTGCCTATCGCCCAGACTGGTTCGTAAGCTAATACCACGTTGTCCCAGGATTTTACCTTGTCCGCTATCGCCTTGGTCTGTTTGTACACCACTTCCTCGGTTTTGCCCGCCTCGCGTTCCTCTAATTTCTCACCTATACACGCGATTACCTGAAAAATGCAAGAAGTTTATTCTGCATCTTTAAGGATACATTTCAGAACGTTCTTTTTGAGGAAAATTTTACTGAAATCTATAGTTCATGTTACATATACTATAAATTTTCAGTGAAATTTTAAGTATCTTTTGATTGAAGGAAATTCCTTAAGATTTCTTGATCTATGACGCCAAAAGCGAGAAATACACGTTAAAGTTCTTGCAAAATACGTAAAAACAAAAAGATATATTCATAAAATGATACTCATGATCAATCAAGCAGAATATAAAATAGTCTGAACACTTTCCTGTTGTTCCAATAATCGATGAATAACTAAAATTGACGTGACAAAATCATACGGAAATATAAAGTAAAAAAGTAAGTTGCGTGTCACGTGAATTTTTCGGTAATTTATTGAATGTTATATATCGTGTATTTCTTTACCGCCATCATCAATCGAGAGCTCAGCCGGGAGTATACAGAAAAACATAAGCACAAAATTGATCAGTCACAGTGGGCGATTTCTCCTTACAGTCGAAAAATAATCGACTATAATTGATCAATTTTCTTGATCATTATAATTATATAATGATCAACAAAATGATAATTATAACCGATTATAATTGATCAATTTTTTTGTGTGTCCAGGCCTTCAGCAGTAAAACAGTGAGCCAGTTGATCAATTATAGTCGACGATTCTTCTTACGACCCATGAATGATCGATTATTATTGGTCAATTTTCTTACTGCTTACAATCTCAGGTAGAGTTTGCTTTACAGAAAAGCAAAAAGGTAGAAGCCAATCAGAACTCGCGCTGGTAGAAAAGCAAAAACTGTCAACTACCACCTGATCACTAGCGCGAGTTCTGAGGCCGTATTCTTAACGTGTATTTGAACATTAAATACGCGCTTTTCATTCCAGATTGTGTTTTTCTTATACGTGCGTCCCGTATAAAGATGTTTCAGCTTGAAAATCAGAAAGGCATATTTAGCATTCAAATACAGCCCTAAATTAACTTCTGCTTTTTTGAGTTACGAGTGTTGCGAAGGTGTGAGTTCTCTCTTATATTTTTGTGTGCCATCCGTGTTCCGCGGCAAGGAGCCAAGAGCCTTGACTAGTCGATTGTTTTATCAATAAGGTCATTAATCACCTTTAAACCAGCTTCTAAGGCATGCGCGATTTTCTCTGCGATCAGCTCGTCCGTCTCGCCGAACACATTTCTACGTTCAGAGTGACCAAGGATCACCCAGGGGATATTGTTGTCCAGAAGCATTCCTGGGCTGATTTCGCCAGTGAAAGCTCCTTTAGCCACTTTGTATGTGTTCTGTGCACTGACACTGACATTATTGGGCACAATGGACGTCACGTATGCGAGATATATCGACGGTACTCCAACCACGACTTCTGTAAGACGTTAAAGTTTCGTAAAGTTACAGCGAATTCATATGAGTCAGAAGTTGAACAAAACATGCAGGAATGTTACATAAGCATTTGCATCAGATGACGCTGCTAGATTCTCTGGCAAATCTGGACTTTCATTCTTCCTAAAGAATATAAACTTTGTGATCTCTGTTACATAAATATCACGAGTAAAATCTCGATTGAGAATATATGATGAAGCAAAACTCCCTTGAAGGAAATCAACAACATTGTTTCTGAAGTTCAATTCATTCCTTTTTCTTTTTTAAGAAATAATTTTCTCGTGAATTATAAAATCGAATAGAGGAATCATTCTTTTTGACGAAAGAATCGATTCCGGAATTCGCCGGTTTCCGATGTAACATTTTACGGAACATTGCATACACACGTACATGCTGATCGCACACATCACGTACCAACGTTGGGGTCAAGCGGGCCGGTCTTCAGGAACGCGACGATGTCGTTGATCTCGCTCTTCGTGCCATTCATCTTCCAATTGCCACCGACGAAGAATTTGCGCGCCATACTCTTTGTGCGTTTTGTGACAGCCGTTCGCGCGATGTGCAACCTGTAACAAGATTCTCGAGCTCGTTCGCCCTTCCGACCTTCACGTGCTCGCCAAGGTGAAGTCTATCACGTCCTCTCAGCCCAATATTATATCTAATCCCCACTACCTTCCGTGCCATCCTCCCCGGCCATATGATGTTCTTATCAAGTGCACTTTCTACACTTAGCCCGCTCTTTTTCATAAAAATGTAATTGACAAATATGAAGATGCAATTGATCAGATGACAGGCCTGAATTTTTCGTCTTTATTGTCGCATTTTTTTTTGAAACCCGTAAACGTCTATTTTTTTACGTTTATATTTGATACAGAGAATACTGCATCTTGAGCCAAATGTGCGAGAATATGTTAAATGTATAATCACGATAATCAAGGAGGACTCTCTTAAGAAATTTGACAGGAAATTAATGCAGGTGCGAAACATTTAATATAAATAATAAATATGTGTTGATATTTTATTAATTTTCCAGTAATCACCGGTTAAGGTTCGCATAACCTACAATAAGATTTCTAACCTCAACACATGTGATTGTTTATGATTTCTCGAGGAGGAGGCCGAATGCATGGTGACCAAACAGAAAAAAGAAATAAAAAGATGTTTATGATCTAGGATTAACCTTTCTGGATGCATTCCGTTTAACGCTCATAATGATCGTGGCGTCATTCTATCCTTGTTTAACATCCAGTAAGAAACATGGATAAAATGATGCCGCGATCGTAACGGACGTTAATTGGAACTCAGCTTTTATCGTAACAAGATAAGCGTACTTACAGTATCTGATACTATTAGAATATACGAGTACTGTATTGCTACGAATTATATTTGCATTTGTAATACTTGTTAATGTCATTTTCATCAGCGACATTGTGGAGTTTGCTGAAATTCTCGTAAACAAACTGTAATCAGTATTAGCCTCATTTTCATAAAAAAGAACTTATCAATACAATTTTGTGAGATTCTGTCGTGTGTATAATTTGTAAATTTGCGTAAGTTTATCGGTAATTAACTAATTCATGTCAAGTATGAAATAGAATTATCATCGCTTAATATAAAAAATTTATCGTTCGTTTGAAATTTGAGCAAGTTTCGTTGATTTATAACAAAAAAACAGCAAAATAAACTTCGTATCTTACGTCGACGGCATATATCATACAAATCGAAAATTATTAAAAGTAAGTGAGGAATCAAAAGATATTGCAATGAAAAATAATGAGAATATTATCGATACACAAAATAGATATTATTTTTTAAAAAAACATAAAATTTGTCGAAAAATTTATTCTATTAGCATACTATTTCAATAACATTAATAAGAGGATAATACAAGAAATTAAATGTGTGTGTAAATAAGAGAAATATAAATATAACAGAACACTATATAGATGAAATATTATAAAAACAAATCTCCAAAATTAGGATCAATAATAGTTTAAAGCAATGAGTAAATATGTAATACAAATCTGAGAATACATTTACTATCGAAGCAGGAACATTCAAATTTATCACAGATGAAAAATGTTACACAGTAAATTGTGACTTAATAATGAACATTATTGAGTACACACGCTAAATTGAACAAAAAAATATATAATTATGCGTTAATGTGGATTTTATGAAGAAGAATGTGTGTGTACATTAAGTTATACATTGACAACAAAGTGATTTAAGCTGTTTTTAATAGTTAATTTAATTTTTCCTTTTACAAAAATTTCAAAATGTTAACAGAGACTACCAGTACCAGGAGAAAACTTTATTTAAATTAATATAATTATAAATTATAATGTAAATTGTATACAAACTAATCATTTATGTGCATATATATATTTATGTTATGTAAATACTATATAAAACAAAGAAGCAAAGAAGTAAAATGGAGGCTTCTTGAAGATAAGAGAAGTACTTGTTTTACAAGCATACTTTAATATTATGCAAGCATGTTTGTTTAAGTACGAAGGATAATTGTTCTCATTTAAGTATGAAGCATAATTGTTCTCAATTAAATAATAGGAAAAAGGACTAATTCGAGTTCAAGCACAGGATTAATAGTGCTATGTACCATATGGATAAAACCTTCCTTGTGTTAGGAAATAGAGCAATATTTATTGAACATCAATACTCAATATAAATAATCAAACGTTTCGGCTCAATCATGAACCCTCTTCAGTGATATAAAAAAAAACTCAAGGTTTACAAAACGAACGCATTACAAGTAAAAGAATTAATTAAAGACCTTAATAAAATGACATGAATGTTATTCGCAGTATTATAGCTGACAAGACCATTACCCGACTAATATTAAAAAGTTCAAGTTAATACTAGGAAGCAGCCATAATTATAAAAAAAACCATAAAATAAAATAAAAATAGGTAAGATTAAAATATAATAAATAATTAAAACGGTCAATATAAATTATCTTTGTTGAGCTCAGCTAAAAGTGAAACGATCCTGTCAACGATAACATCGCCACGTCTAAGTAAAAGAGATAATAACAGATTTATATACACGAGCATTAACATTGCAGCGACGACTCTTGGGATCAAGCCAAAGTTTTGCATGAGGAACGTTATTACTTGAAACGCCTGATATCAGAAATGATTTACATTAAATTTCAAAAGCATGGACTTAACTCTCAAAAGGACACAGAATATTTGGGCAACAGCTACTGCAGCTTGTTATGAAAATAAAATCTTGTTTGTTTCCTTCTCTTCCAAGAGTCGTGGCCACAATGTTAATGTTCGTGTATATAAATCTGTTATTATCTCTTTTACTTAGACGTGGCGATGTTATCGTTGACAGGATCATTTCACTTTTAGCTGAGCTCAACAAAGGTAATTTATATTGACCGTTTTAATTATTTATTATATTTTATTTAATCGAATTAGCTCTTTTTCCTATTATTTAATTGATATCATTGTACAGTTCGGATATTATTGTTATTGAGTTCTTATTTTCTTACTCTTAATAATTGTTCTCATTTGTGTGGAAAATGAATCTACCAGCCATTATAGAAGACTATCTGTTGCAAGGATACATATTTCAATTTTACAAAATACGTTTGTGAAACACATAAGTGTGTGTGATATATATATATATATATATATATATATATATATATATATATATATATATATACACAATATATTCGTTTTATTTACCTATATAGTTCAGCAATATCAGTATAATTATTCTGTTTTCCTATTCTAAGCAAATAGGTCAAGCCATTGCTCAAGCATTCAGATGCAACAGTATTACATGCAATCTCTGTTATATTAAGATGTAGTATCTACATCTTAGTCTTATTTCATCGCTCGGATTAATGATTTCTTAAATATATATTATACTATATATGTATGTATATTTTGGAATGTGTATTTTTGTATAATACATATAAAAGATTTATGGCCATTCCCTTCACTTTCTTCGTGAGCTATTGATAAATGACAAATAAATCTTGTTGCAAAATGTCGTTCATTAGTTTTAGATCTGATAAAGAATTCTGTAGAATGGTCTGTAAGAAACAAACCGACTCTTAATTTGATTTTAATAACAAAACAAATAGAAGTTATGTAGAGACTTGGCTAAAAGATTACCTTGACTGATTATAAAAGAGAGAAGACGGGAGATTCGCTAGTTGGAAGATTAGTTATAATTATATTAAATATAGTCATTATTATTTAGTTAAACCCAAATATTTATTAATCCCTCTAATAATTAAATAAATTAGTAACGAAAGAAAATAATTCGATTGTTTGGAGGATCTTACACAGGTCTCAGTTTCACTAATGTGCATAATCATTTATCAGTTCTGTCTGTTTTAGATAACAGAGAAAAATGGCGAGTGAGGAGATAATTGAGGCTAACAAGAAGCCACAGCCTGTGTTCAAGAACCGCTCGTTTCAGCAGAAATTTCGGCCCACTGGTAACACCGGTAAAAAACGCACGTGGCGTTCGTTAAAACAGGTTTTGGCTCAGGAACGTTCATTACCGTGGCCAAGCACGGTAAAACACTGTACGTAGGGTCCGATAAAATGATTTTATTTCCACTTGTCGTTATGTTCGTACATGGTTGGGAAGTTGGTATTTTTGAACTGTATAACAAAGTTATAAGAATAATTCACACGTGATAAAAACCGAAATAGTTCGCATCAACACCCATATATAGAATATTTTTAATCGTATGCTATTGCTACAGCGTATGTATTGCTATAGCGTGCGTAATGATGATTTTTAGACAGTTCCATCAATGCACCTCCGAGCTTCAAACCTGCCAAGAAGTACTCCGACATTTCTGGATTGCCAGTGAGTGCGAAGATAATTCTTCTCGCGACATTTGAAAAAAAATCCACCTTTTTTTATTATTAAATCGTAAACTTTCTTAAATTTATTAAATCGTATTACTCTTGTAGGCACGATACACGGATCCACAGACTAAATTGTACTACGCAACCGCCGAAGAATTCGCGACAGTACGAAGTTTACCGATGGACATAACAGCTGGATATCTGGCTTTACGCGGTGCATCCAGCATTGTTGGTTAAATAAACGCAATATTTTACGTAACGGATGATTCATATTTTTCGGCACGAGAACGCGATTTCTAGATTTGCGTGCTTTATATACATTGAAAGTTTAAAGTTACGTTCACAGAGACAAAGGAAATATACTTCAACGGGAGGATAGAAAGAAAAAGAGACAGATATAGAACAATTCAAGAAAATAAAGTATCAAGACGAAGTAAAGTATCGATATTTTTATCTCACCATATAACGTTTATAATAACACTTGCCATGCCTATCGAGTAATGCTTTGTAGGATCTTACAAAATGAACAATTTCACGGATGATTTCTGTTACTCCCATTGTTTTATCTCTCCTTAGTAATTTATACGATACATTATTAAAAAAGCTTGTCCATTATAACTTAGTATATGAACTACAGGCTAACAGGGAGGAGAGGTGTGAAGGATCCCCAAGACGTGTATAACTCGGTTTAAGGGATTGTCTACAACGCGGTCGCAGTCATATTTTAAAATCGTAGTACTAATCCGTAAATAAATCACGTATCTATTTCCTTCGTATAAACTTATGAAAAATAAAGCTTTATCGAATTTTTCCATAAAACTTTTTATCTCTTACGAATGAAACAGATAAATGATCGATATACAGATTGATGCTACGACTTTAAAGCGTAACTACGACCGCGTTGTAGACAACTCTTTAGAGTATGCACTGTGCTTTATCTTTCTATTTCGGTCTTTTCCCTTTAGCACATTTTGCTCTCGTTCAGTTTGCTACTTGCAACACGACCATTAGCGAATTTGCAAAATTACTTGCGATAGAAGAATACAAACAGCAAGGCCTACTGAAATATTGCCCGAATCGTGCGCTATCATCAGGTTGCCATTTGTCTTTAATGTAATTAATTATTTAATTAATCGATACAATTATTCATCGTCTTAATCATATAAGTCCGGAAGATCTTCGTCGTCACTGTCGGCCTCGGCGTCCCCTAAATCGTCTAAGTCATCGAAATTCGGTTTCTTATCGGCGGAATCGCTCAAACCACCCATTTGCCGCATCATCTATGGAATCAGAGAACATGTTTTTTTTTATTTGCAAACGACTATATTATGTGGAACTTAATTGTGCAGAATTTACATAAAAATAAATACCTCTTCTAAGTCAGGTGGACTGCCTTCATCTTCAGTATCGTCCTCATCCTTCCATTTGTTAAAATCGCTCTTCAACCAGTGCGCCTTTGTCTTGTCCTTGATTAATCGTGGCCAATATGGTCCCTCGTCTTTTTTAACAAGGACTAATTCAAAGGTTCTACCTTTCATATTTTTTACAGTTTTGCTTGGAACAATATCCTTGTATAAATTAATCGTAACTTCATGCATTTTGTTATCTGTGCCTCCTTCTCCTTTGAAATATATTTTGTTTTGTTCAATTTCGATTATAGGATCCTTACAATCTTCTAGACAAATAGTGACATATAAGATATCTTTCCTTTGGGCCCACATAACCGGGGGAGGAGGTATCCTGAAAATATAAGATATATATATATACAGGTATGCAGGACAGACAATCCTGATCACGAAGGGATCGTCTACATTGCAGTCGTAGCATTAGTCTATGAATCGATAATGTATCGATTTCTATAGCGCAAACTCTTGAAAAACGAACAGTTTTATTGAATTTATCAATGAAACTTTTCATTTCACAAATTTATGCAAAGCAAGTGAATACATGATCAATTCACAGACTAGTGTTACGACTTTAAAACGTAATTGCGATCGCATCGTAGACGATCCCTAACAATTTATATTTCCGTACATTTAAGGAAAATTACGCGAGCAAACGTCGGCAGGTGATTTCCCACGTGTGTGTTGGGGAACCTGACCTGTTGTACACCTATAGGTTAGGTTAGGGGTCGGATCTCAAGGCTATTTGTGTAACGATGTTTCGTGCAAAGATCGTTACGTTCGCGGGAGAAGTCTCAATGAGAAAGCAAGATATATTCGACTGTCGCATCGCGATTCATGGGAGGATCATCGTCAAAGCTAGCGGCAATGGGCTCTTCGAAGAAACGAGAGTCATTGAGCTTATGCCCCGGCATGCGATGCGCTTCCTCCTCTGAGCAAAGCACGCGCCGAGGACGCGGTTCGCGAAATCGGAGGCTGAGAATACGCGACGGATGAGGCCACGAGCGAGGATCGACGTTTGCATTTTCGTCCGTGGGACCGATTGCATTGAGTTTTTCGCCTGGAAACTTCGAGAATCAATAAACCGTCCCATCAACATGGCGGTGCCGTTCGCCCCACGGGGCGGCACTTGGACGTTGGCCGGCACTCCAACGCGGCTATACGCGGTCGAGCGAATACGGGGCCCGACAACCGGGCCCAACAGCAAGCATCGTTACGCCGAATTATACCGATCACCTTATACTTACTGGCCTTCTTGCGTCATGTTTCCGATCGAGTCCGCACGGCGAGAGGGAAACAAATACACAACGCACTCACGTACCGCGCCGCGACACGATTCGAGATCGTACGTTTCGAGATCTCGCCCGTTTCTCGAGAGCACTGTCAATACGGCGCAGGCTCATGCAGGATTTACATTGCGTCCGATGTCCGACGAATGACGTCCGATATCCAATAGGAGAACAGCTTTCTAATAGAGAATTCAATTTTTCATTGGAAAGCTGTTCTCCTATTGGATATTGGATGTCTACGTCGGACATTGGATGCGGTGTGAATCCTCCATCACGCCAGAGAATATTCCCTAAAAAACGCCTGGTTATGGAGGGGCGCATTCAGTAGAAAAAGCGCTCAATGAGCAATCAACGATTATTGGTTCTTGCTATTAGATCCCTAAATCTAGACCAATTACATTGACAAATTACTCAACTGTTGTGCAACTGTTGAGTCTGCTGAATGCAGCCAATGATTCACATCGTGTCCGATGTACGACGTCCGATATTCAATAAAAGAATAATGCAGGATTCACATCGCGCGATATTGACGTACGACGTTCGATATCCAATAAGAAAACAGCTTTCTAATAAAGAATTCAATTCTCCATTGGAAAGCTGTTCTCCTATTGGATATCGGAGGTCATACATCGGATATCAAATGCGGTGTAAATCCTCCATAATATTACACACGTCGTACGACAAGTATTGTCGGACGTGTTGATTGGCTGGTAGATAGAATTCTCCTAAGGTCTTAACTTTTTTTTCTAATTACCCCAGAAATTCTCTATCCAACAACGAATTAGAATAAAGCAATCAGTAAATAAAACACTCTAATTGGTTGATTCTTACGTTCACGATTATACTTACGCAATTGTAGAATGGCCTTTAGTTTAACAAAGGCGTAAAGGCATAAAGGTCACGTGCAACAAAATGAAAGAAAAGTACTGAATTCTCATTGGCCACATTCAGTAGAAAAAGCAGTTCAATGAGTGCTCAAGCCAGCGGCACACGGTGCTTGTTTTCGTACTGCTTGCTGGATGGAAATACTCTGTTTTGATTGATGCATTTCCATTTATCTTCAGTGTGTATGTATGTATATGAAGTGGAGCAATAATTATTGCCATCTTAAATATCTTCGAATCTATATCTATCTCGATCTAGAGGAAAATTTGTGGAACTAAAATTTTACGGAATGAAGCGGGCTGTCATAGGCCGGTATTCATAGTCGAATCTTATTTTAAGATCGTTTTAAGTAAGATCTTAAGATGCGAATACGGTTCTATGATTGGTTCATGATATCTTAGGACAGTACTTAAGATGATTTTAAATATAAGATATATATGAATATTGATCATAGAGTTGGTTATTTCAATTTCTTGGTAAATTAACTGATAGTTAAATCATAAGTCCGTGTCTAAATTAAACGAAGAACAAAAACAAACATATGATTTAATCAGTTAACTTACCAAGAAGTTAGAACAACCGGGCCATATAGCGATAATAATTTTTGTCCAGAATGAGACGGTTCGGAGATTTCAAGGTTACTTTTATTTTTTTAAATAGCAATTAAATTCTATACTTTTTTATTCTTAGTACAATAGTGGATGTTTAGACGATTTTAAGGTATAATATAAGGTAATTTAGCATTAAATAAACAATGATTCTTATCTCAGAGGTACTCCAGATGATGTCCGTTTACACGGATACGAAACTGCAATCGTTGAATTTCTAAAGCACGTACACTTTTTAACATTTTCAGATTGATTGTTGTACATGCTGTAAATAATTTGTTCATATCTTCTGGTATGGTCGATATTTTTTGGTAAAGCGAGAGAAAGAGAGAGAGAGAGGAAGGGAGGGAGGGAGTATGAAAACCATTGCAACTTTGCGGTATAAAACAATCGGTAACGTCAATGCTTCCCAATAAATAGATCCCTTCTTTATATTTACCAAAGTGTTTTAAATACACATATCGAATATTATTATAAAAAATATTTACACATGAAGAAAAATATATAAAAAATAAGAAAAAATGTATTGCGTGGATACTAACAACATATTTACATAAATCCCTAAGCTTTTTATAATAATATAATAAACAATTGTTTTTATTAGTATATTGCTTGTTATTAGTCGAATAAATATTTTTTTTTTATTTCTTACACTTTTCTCTCTTATAGTCTAATAAGAGAAGAGATTTAATATTATTTATATCAAAAATATTTTCCTTTTTATTTTCCGTGTGTGTGTTTCACGAGATTTAAATTACATAATATTTTTCGTAAAGGAAGTTATGTCTGTATTAATGTAATTACAAAATACTAGTAAGCATTTTTGTATACATTATCGTATTCTTAAAGCTAATTTATTCTAAAAAAAGATTAAATTTGATAACGTTTTAACATTTTTTTTCGTGTAGTTTCTTTTGTTCTTTTATTTGATCTAAAAATCTCTCTACGTTTCCATATTCCTATTTCGCATGAGGAACCTGTGGAAAAAATTTTATTGCGATCGTCGCGGTTGTCAGTTTCAAAATTGTTTATTATCCAAAATGCTTCATTTCGTGGTGAAGAACGCTTACGAAAATCGATAACGATAGGGAAAGAGATCGATAGAAATAAACAGAGAGAGAGAAAGAGAGAGAAAGAGAGAGAAAGAGAGAGGAAGAGAGAGAAAGAGGGAGAAAGAGAGAGAGCGCCAGATCGACGGATCGACATGCAGAGAAGGGGATAGAGACAAAACGGTCGGAGATAGATTGTAGGTCATCCGTGGGGGGGTCGGGGGGAGGGGAGGGAGAAGAGACGGGCCCCGATGGAGGGGCCACCCTTGTGTGCGGCGAGCTAACTGGACACAGACTGACGGTACCAGCAGTCTCTGTCTCCCGCAGGTTCGATTCAGGTGCGATCTGTCATTCACCGCTCTCTCGCTCTTTTGTGTACGCGGTGCGTGCATGCGTGGGCGTGCTCGAATCATCGCGAGAGAGACAGCCGTCGTGCTAGCTGACGTCGATCGTGCGGCTCAACCGGTGCCGATCGATCAATCGATCGCGCGACGCGACGCGACAGTCTCGCGGTTTCTCGAGCGCATACACGTGCGAGTGTTTCTCGCGCGATACAGACGAGATTTCATCGAAAAGGTAGAGCGATATAAGAAAGTCTGTAAAAAGATATCAAGTAACGGCAGGGGGGAGGTGTTATATAGTGTAAGGGAACGCGCGAAGGCACACGATGTATGGAATATAAGAATGAATATGCGCGCGCGTTGTAGGAACAGGAGTGTGTCACAGCTTAAAAGTGAATATGTTTTGGAGAAGGTTTTAAAAATTGTTGAAGTAACAGCAGATAACAATAAATATTGTTCAAAAGGACTTTGTGGAAAACTAAAATAATAGACATAATAATTATTTTATATTCTATGTTAGCCCTGTAATTGTGTGTGTATGTGTATGTGTGTATGTATATATATATATATATATATATATATATATATATATATATATATATATATATAATTTACATATAATCGAAAGTGGAAGCAAACATTTTTTGTGTGTATATGTGTATGAGGTGCAAATATGAATTTTACAACTATGTTACACTTTGAATCCAAATATTTCTCTTAGTACATTAAAGAAACTGCACGATTTACACAAGCATGAAATTTAAAAAACAATCTCGCTGGAGTCGTGACACTTTCCTTCCTATCGAAGAGGGAGACACGTATACATTAGACATAGAAATATGTTTTTGCCTTTCTCTAAAGAATATAAAATTTCGAACTTATCTGTTTTTACATCGCTGCAATGTGTATAACGTCTGCGAGATAAACGTAGTGGGCGCGACGCGATGAATTAACTCTCGCTTCATATAGCCCATTTTCTTATCTGTTATGTCCGATAATATCAATGTCACTATCGATACGTTTCGCGTGTGCAGAGTGTGAGTGCGAGGAGATTTTCCGGAGCGGAAACGAGGGATCGCCCGGTCGCAGGAGCTGACGACGGCTACGATGATTAGGACGATGCGACCTTCGATTTAAAGCGAACCTCGTCACCGGTTGCGGCAACATGTCGACGAGCTCGCTCTTTTACAAGGACAAGTACGCGGTGAGTACACATACACACACACATACACACATATCGCGTACACATGCACTGTGTGCATTACGCACCGATACCTATACGCACACCTGTTTCTCCGCTTTCCATGCCGGTTGTTTTTAACCTTCGTAGCTCGATCAGGGTGTCTACATAATGAACATACATTTGTGTGTATATATGCATGTATGTTAATCTACAAAATGACATATTAAATTCTATCAAGGGAAAGTCTATGAAATCAGAGAGTGAAAAAAAAAGAGAGAGAGAGAGCGGAAGTTTGTGATCGTCGTTTATTCGCTTCTTTCAATCTCAATTTGTGATATAAAAAGTACGTTCTCTTCGATCGCTTATAAGAGACAGAAGTTACTGCTAAGATTAGCGAAACGTTAGCGAAAGTTGATATCAAATCAATTCGTCGATATGTCAACCAACATTTTGTTGATTGCATTAATATTCTAATTAACGTTGTGCTCATTTTCTTTTAACGTTCCCAGTAATTCGTAATTGTGGACACCGATTTTCTTTTTCTTCCTCTATTAACTGGTGGAGCTACGAGGGTTAATACGTTATTGCTGGAAGAAAGCGAGCTTCGCCGAGAAGGTGCTGGATGAACGCGAGAGGTGAAATAACGTTACACGGAGGATACACTAGAGAGCGGCGCGATATTCCGCTTTCCTCGGGTCGCACCGACAGATATTTCTAGTTGAAGAGTTAACTCTTCACGAGAACGCTGTGGTTACCACTCGTAACTGCTCGGTTAGTAACCACGGAACGACCGCTCGAACTCGCTAATTTACATGGTGGTTACAACTGCTAACCATAAACTTTATCGAATTTCTGTCATTTTATTGCCTTTCGAGCAATACGGCTCTCGACGATCGCTAAGAACAAATACGTGGGAACTTTTTCTCTCGGTAGTATCGCGAAGAAAGAAAAAGAGGATAATAATAATAATAAATTCCGTCGATCATTATTTTAATTAAATCTACGTAATTTTACCATCTTTGTTTCGTGCAAAGCCACGGGAATTAAGAATTGGTTTT